AAAGTCACAAATTTTGCAAACCAGAAAGCAAGGTGCTGTCTGCATTTCACGGACAAGGAAATGCAAGTCTCTAGTCATGTTATCCTGTAGGTTTTAGAGCTGTAGCGTGAACCCAGGATTTCTGAAAGAAGCACTTAAACGCCAATTCCACAAATGCCTCATAAGCAAATTATGTACAGGTAGGTCAGATCAAATTCAGAAAAGAAGGGATTGTGAAGGTTTCTCAGAGGAGAATCATTCTTCTCAATCCAGTACAGTACTTAGGAAAAAATATTTTTATTTCCCTATGATCAGTTTTTCATATCTTCAAAGCCTTTATCTACCTTTCTAAAGTGTCAGCGAGTCATTTAGAGCCCAAGGACAGCTGCCTTTACTGTTTGGCCTTCAGAGGTATTTCCAGTGTGCTTCCGTCTACCACTATCCTTGCTTTTTAAGAATTTGCAAAACACATTTCAAAGATTGTTATGTAGAACAAAAGATTCACCATCATAAGAATATTAATCCTTATTAAATGTTTGAAATGTATCAATTAAAATAATATCCAAAACATAAGAGTAACTTTTACATTTTGAAACTCTTCAAGCAAATGATTTTTTTCTGTGAAGAATCAACATAAAAAAAGGCAGGTTTGAACTTGCTAAATAGAGCAAAGAAGATTAGAATTATAATCTGAATGGATGTGTCCCATCCAACCAACCAAAGATTAATGAGGTTTTTTTGTACTACAATTATACAAATTCTTTGAGCTTATATTCTTTGGGTTCCAGAAATTGATCATTCAAATTTCAATTATCTAAGACTATTTGAACTTTGTATTTGAAGAATTTATACATTTCCCCTATAAAATTTCAGCTTTGTAAATTTTTTTTTTCATTACAAATCCATTGGTGAATATTTACCTTCCTAGATGTGGTGTCATGAGTCATCTTACCACATCATCTTTCTGTTTGAACCTATCATAATTATAATATCTCTTTGTCAACGAGAGTATTGGATGGCATACCATATATGTAAGCATTTCTCTCAAGGTGTATAACTTAGCAAAGTGATTTTCTGAAGGTGAAATATGTGGTAGCCAGCCTCCCAAATGGCCCCCAATTATCCTTGCGTGCTGGTAGTTATACGCTTGCACAGTCTCTTCAAACATTAATTGTGTAATCAACAGGATTTTGTAGGGGGGAAAGTGTGTGATTTCTAAGCTTAGGGCCTAAGAGGCATTGTGGTGTCTACCTTGCTCTCTACTGAATCATTCATTCCAGAGGAAGCAGCTGCCATGTTGTGAGGACAAACCAGCATTAATGGGCAGCCGTGTGGGACATCTTGCCAATGGCTCTAAAACCCCAGAAATCATTCAGCCCCGGCAAATATCTTCACTGAGACCTCAAGGCATACCCTAAGCCAGATCCACCCTGCTAAGCCATCCCCAAATTCCTGACCCCCAGAAAGAGCGTAAAATAAAATAAAAAACAGTTACTGTTGTTTTATACCACTTACTTTTGAGGTAATTTATCATGTAACAATAGATAACATTACAAAACATAACGAACACATTTCATCTTATAAGCATTTTACTGTGTTTACAATCTAATTTTATTAAACTTATTAGTTTTTAAAGTTGTTCAAAACTGTCTGGCTGAAATGAAATTTTTATGGTAGATTGTTTCTTCATAATATAAAAAGTTGTTTCAAAATCCAAATGTCAGTATCATTCATTCCTTTAAGCAACGTGTAGCAGAACCCCTACTGTGTGACAGGCACTCATATACAGAGATATATAAGAAAGTCTCTTCCTTGGATAAGTTTATGTTTCTGAATGAGATAGGTAAGTGAACAGATACCTGTAATACAATGTGTTAACTGATTTAATACAGGTGCCCATAACGTATGAAGGAACAAAAGCACGGTACGGAGGATTCTTCTTAGGATGTCTGAGAACGTTTCACAAAAAAGGGTGAATAGAATTTTTCTAGATAGAACAGTGATGGTGAACCTATGACATGTGTGTTAGAGGTGACACGCAAACTCATTTTTTTGGTTGATTTTTCTTTTGTAAAGGGCATTTAAATATATAAAATAAATATCAAAAATATACATCTTTGTTTTACTATGGTTGCAAATATCAAAAAATTTCTATATGTGACACAGCACCAGAGTTAAGTTAGGGTTTTTCAAAATGCTGACATGCCGAGCTCAAAAGGTTCACCATCACTGAGATAGAAGATTGAGGAATGAGTCTCTACTAGTGATATTCATATTTATACAGTATTTGTGATAAACTAAGTTCTAAGTACTTTAAATATATTCACTTATATACTTTTCTTAATCTTTTTACATAGGTACTATTATAATCCCTGCTTTATAGGTGATGAAACTGAGACAGGGAGAGGCTAAGTGACTTTTCCAATATCCCACAGCTAGAAAGTGGTAAGGTCTGGATTTAATACCAGGGAAATCCAACACCAGGGTTCACATTCTTAACTATTCTAATACACTCTCGGCTGTCTCGGCAGGGCTGGAAGAGAGGAACAGTATAAAAAAGGCATTGAGCAATGAGAGTACATTTGTCTAGAGAAAGTAGTGATACGACTGGAAAACAAGTGCATGAGCTGAATTATAGGAAGAAAATGAAGAACTAAGCCAAGGACTTAAATATCGTGTCAAGGAACTTGCACTTAGGCAATAAGAAATGGTTGATGAAACTTATGTGTTATGCAGATGCCTTTGGGTCAATGTTAAAGGGGAGAGACTGGATGAGGGAGACAAGAAGAAACTTCCTAACACCCTGAAAAGAACCAAGGTCTGAAGTGTAGTAAAGGAGAAGGGAGCAAATGTATGAGACACGGAGTAGCCGCCGCCATGGAGCATGGTGACTAATCAGATGCCAAGCAGATTTAAGAGATGATGTGCAGGTTTCTTTTCATAGGGAATGGATAGTTGGTTAGGTCATTAATAAATATAGAAAGCTGGAGGGGGAGACCTCACATAGGAGATGTGCTTAACAAACACTTCTTAAAAGAAGAAATGAAGTCGTAGTAATATAGAGGCTATTTTTTCTCTGTCATATGAAATGACAATCACATAGGCATTATCCATAGCACCTAATTACAGTGGTCCAAGGGACTTCTACCGTGGATTAAAAGTGTGTCTTTTCACTTAAGTAATCTAACCTGGAAGACTAATAGGTAGCTGCTCATTCTATGAAATTAAGAACAAACTGCATTCAACAGAAATTTCTGTAATACACTTTTAAATTATTAACTTTACAAATATTAGGTTCACACGCAGTTCTTAACATGTATTATATGCATTAAAGAACTATATTTTATTGTCATATTTGGTTCTAAAATTTAAATGAATGAAAGTTTAAGAAAGGAAATAAAAGATGAAATGTCACAGTCAATATAGGCTCAAAATCTTCTAGAGTAATGTAATTAATTGTTTTTCATTTAAAATTCTAGGTCATAATTTTATATTATGTGCAGTTCCAGTGTATATTCTTTTAAGAGTTTATATTTCACAATATAACAAAATTATAGCAGAGGTTTATGACTCTGGGTGAGTAGCGTTTTTTGCTTAGGTTGATCCCATGGACATATCTCTAGCTGTTAGATGATGCTTGCTTTAGCCCAGCTACCAGTGGTGCAGGTGGGCAAGGTCATCTCAGTCACACCTCCACATCAATAAACCCAAATGACAGAATTTTACAACTTTGCAAATGTATATTTGTATTTCTTTTAACAGCCATTTTCTGGCACATATAGTAAATTTTTGATAATTAATTATTTAATGCATAAAAGAATATAATGAAAACTAGAGGGTCTTTGAGTATATATAATGCAACTTATAGAAATTATAGCTTCTGGGTCCTACTGATTCATCTACTACTGAGGAAGGAAAATGGGGGTGGGGTATGGGCAGTACAAATATGAAGTGCTCTAATAGATTAACGAAATGTTTTCCTTGTGGTAAAAAGTGATAAGCAAAAACTCATTCATCTACTTATTTATTATTTATCAAATGCCTGAGTAATTCCTTCCTCAAGGAATGCACAGTCAATATAGTGTATCAATGAGAAAATAAGTAAATATAATTTTAAAAATATAAAAAGACTTTGAACAAAGAGATGAATGATATACTCAGAGATTGAATTGTCATAATGAAGATCTATCTTCACTTGTGTTTTTCCTATTTTACTGCAAAAACACATGGACATTCAAGATATAATATCTCATTATAAGTCATTCTGGGAAAACCCTTTTAACACTCTTTATTTTCAAGAACTCAAAATAGGCTGTTTTGATGGGAGGAGCAAAGAGTATGTCTGAAAAGGAAGCTTGAAGCCACATGGTGGGGGCGGGAGGGTAAAAATACTTTACACTCTTTTCCATCTGTCCAAAAGCTTTTCATTTTCACCCAGCTGTTGTGGTTCAGGGGTCAACCCATGAACCAAGAGGTCTGTGGTTTGATTCCTGCTCAGGATATATGCCCAGGTTGTGGACTTGACCCCATTGAGGGTGAGGGTGAAGGAGGCACCCAACTGATGTTTTTCTCCCACAGATATTACTATCTCTCTATTCCTCTCCCTTCTTCTTTCTCTAAAATCAACAAAAGCTCTTCATTTTGTTTTATATTACCTACTGTAAAATCCACAAATCACCTTTTATTACTGGTCAATAAAGTTCCAGTTCCAAAACTAAGTACACCTAACCTTTTTAATCATTATCTTCATGAAATTGTAACATTCAGCCTTTGTTCAGCTCTACAAATAAGAAAATCTACTTCATTTGCAATCAATGAGTACACCAGTCAAAGAAGGAGATTAGAAGGGGGAAAAACAAACAAAACAAAACAAAAAAAAAAAGAAACAGACTTTGGTGACCCAAAAGCACATTGGTGGGGTGCTTTATTTACCACATTAAGATGGGGTGAAGAGAAACAAAGCCAGAACTGGGGAGAACATTGTTTCTATTCATTAAAAAGCCAGATGTCATGGACCTTACCTGAAAAGTTTTTGTAATCCACCAAATCAAACATCACAACGGCAACAGCCGACCAAGTGACTATCAGAGCAATGACGAGAAGCCAGGCCGCGGGGGAGCTGAAAGTGGTCACTATGTCTTCTGTGACTGTCCGCTTCAGCACTTTCCCAGGGGACTTGGGCACAGATCCGTTCTTGCTGTCGATAACCGTGGTCGTGGTGGATGCATTTCCTAAGCAAACATTCCGAAAGGAGAATGGCAATTTAGAACTTCACAGCGAATGTTAATGACACAAAACAACAGCGTAGGTTATGCAAATACATATAAGTGGCTTATACCGTTTTCTCTAGTAGAACATGCCTCTTCAGTGGCAGGACCGTACCTCGCTGCCCACTGCCACAACACCTCTTCCTCAGCATTCACCTTCCTGCCTGAATCCCACATGCCCTTAGAATCAGCAGGCCTTGTCTCCCAAGCTCCATAAATGCTGCCATCAAGGTCACAAACCTTACCATCATCTTGAATTCATTTTCGCTTTTTCCTTACCACCTCCAAAACCACTATATCCTGGGCAATGGGCTCTTTTTGGTCAAGCTGCTTTTTTAAAAAAAATTCTTTATTTAGCTCCTATGCCAGTTCTGAATGCAAGCAAAAGAATCTCTTCTGGGAGAGAAAGAAAATCAGCAATAAAATAGAGTCAATGGATGAAAGTCCTTCTAGATATCCTGGTTTAACGGCATACCTGACCCTTTTATTGAGGCCATTCATTTTTATTTGTGAAGGGGCACAGACGATTTAAGAGAACAATGTGAGAAAATCTTAAATATAGTAACTTTTTTATTCCTGCTTTCAAGAGTCTACATGTTCATGAGAGAAAATTTTAAAAATATAAAAAATAGATAAATAGGTAAATAATTAGGCAATCCTTTATAAATCTCCCCAACCAGGAACAAGAAATACAACTATTTTAGATAAAATGGTAAAATCTGAGCCCATGTTTTTAAAAGATTAAAAAGCTGATGTGGAACATCAGTGTTAAAATTATTTAATTAAGATTTTTAAATGACTTCAGGTAAAAATTTGCAATTGTGACAATGAAACTCCTTTCTTTTCTGAAAAACTACGTGAATATATATCCCAAGTTCATGAACTCAATTTGGTTGAAATGACAGCAGGATGGAAAAATACCTTTGAAAACAGAATTCACAGACTGTACTTGAGATGGTGCTCCAAGAAGGAAAAATTAGAAAGAACTCATATCATATCCACTCATTGATTTTTGTGCCAAATTCCCATCACTTCTAATGGCAGTTCTGAAAATGGATGAATGATAGGAGTGCTTTGAAATGTGATTTAAGACCCAAGTGGGGCTGCAAGTGAATCAAACCTTTGGAATAGTGATTTGCAAGAGAATAAGTGAATTATAAGTGTTTAAGAGAGCCCACCTGAAATTTGATATGTTGCTAACTAATCTCCCGTTTTTTAACTTCTGGAAGGTTTCCTACTACCGCTATATGAAGAACACTGGGAGAACTGCTTTAGCACTTCAGATTCACTTCAGTGTACTGTGTATTGAGAGTATTTCTGCAGACAATATGATGACATCTGCTTGGTATCTTGAAACTGAAAGAATAGATTTACTGAGATTTGATAGAAATTAGCTGAATCCTTGTCACATTTTTAAAAGTCAGGAAAAAATATATATATATATACATATGTATATGAATTTCAAATTTTATTTTACCTTATAATCCTGACAAAACAATTGTTACAATATTTTAAATAGAAGAATATAATACGGCAAATGATTTTTTAAAATTGCTTCTTTAGAAGATGTTTGTTTGTTTGTTTGTTTTTTATATATTTTATTGATTTTTTACAGAGAGGATGGGAGAAGGATAGAGAGTTAGAAACATCGATGATAGAGAAACATCGATCTGCTGCCTCCTGCACATCCCCCACTGGGGATGTGCCTGCAACCAAGGTACATGCCCTTGACAGGAATCGAACCTGGGACCTTTCAGTTCACAGGCCAATGCTCTATCCACTGAGCCAAACCAGTCAGGGCTGATTTTTTATTTTTTATATCTTCTTTGTCTTCACATCCTCATAATTTCTACTTAGGACTTAATGAAGACTCAAAGGTGACAAAAGTATATTTTGAGTGTCAAATGCAACACCACAAGCACTGTGAAAGTTATCTTGCTTAAAGAAAATATGTGTTTCCTTTGTTATGAAAACACACGAAGTTGCACTTTTCATGTTCCATTCAAATTTACTACAGAAGCCACAGAGCCAAGAGGAATAAAATCGAGGAGAAATAAATTGCCTTCTCTGACAGCTGGTCAAGATAAATGCAAAGAACAGTGTGCAATCTGAGATTACTTAATATTTGAGAAGCCCTTTGAAGATGACAAGAGCTAGTTATAGATTTGGAGAAAGAAAAAAAAAACGGGAGGCAAATACTACTGAGCAATTGGACATGGACCTCGCTTCTTGAAAGTTGTTGTCTCAGAACAGGAGTAAAGCAGCTAGGATATGTCACAGTACTTTCCATCCCTGCTTTTCAATTCCATTGCTTTGCATTTCATACAAATAATTTTGATTGCCAGGAAGCCAGAATCAGCTTCAAAAGAAGTGGGGATCTGGCTGCAAGGCCTTGTGACTCCATCCATAAAGTAAAGTGGGCGGCTCGCGCAGTGGTTCCAAAGACCAGCTTCACAGTCCCCTTATGCCTGGAAGAATAAATCATACGCCTCCTGGAAGAGGTCGCTTAACCTCATCATGCCTTATTAATCCGGGGAGGAACTGCCAAGTGCATTTGCCCATCATTATTCCTATGGGATACTGGCAATACAGCCTCTTCGAGGATGTTTAAGGAGAACACTTATGTTCTAGAATGGCATAAATAAAGTACTCGATCCTCATTACACAAAAGCAGTAATTCTGAAGTGTGTATATCACCAGGTGATGTGGTTTGTGGAATACTCAACCAGTATATTGTTTCTCCAAGAATTAGAGAACAAAGGAGAGAGAGTATGTACTATCATGATATAAAAATATATTGTATTCCAAAATTGTGTTAAGAATCTAACTCCAATTATAAGTAAGAATAATATTTGATATATGTTTTAAGTATGCCATAAAAGTGCATGTAAAATAAAAATGTTGGAGAAGCTATTTCAAAGATCTTTTGATAAATGTAGTTAAAAAGTAAAAAAAAATCCATCTTTTAGCTTACGTATTTTATCATCCTAGTTTTTGTAGAATGTGTACGCATAATATACATATATCTGTTACAATTAAATTATTTTTTCTACAAGTATATATAAACAAAATGAAAACAGATTTTGAGAAGCAAGAAGGACCATAGTAATTTATAAAAATAAATAATCCTACATATTCTATTAGATAGATAGATAGATAGATAGATAGATAGATAGATAGATAGATATAGATAGATAGATAGATAGAAAGAATGTGGAAATAACCAAGAGTAATTTTTAGAAAAATCCTGATTTTAGGCACATAAAAACAGAACAACAAAAACACTACTCACTTCCAAGGTAAAAAGTGCTTTGTCTCAAACCAGAAACTGGTCTCCTGTCAATTTTAATAAAAGCTCTAAATTGTCACCTTTTCTTCCAGATTCCGTGGGATGTGATCATTGTAATATTTCATAGAATGATTTGGCCACCTAATCCACCTGCTGAGGTGTAGAGTTATACAGTTATTTTGTACACAAGAGGCCCAGTGCACGAATTTGTGTACGGGTGGTGTCCAGCCGACCCTCCTCAATGGGGGCCCATTGGGCTGGGCTGGAGGGTGGGGGAGGGGCTTCAGGCAGTTGGCTAGCCAGCTCCACCTCCAATCAGGGTGTTGGGGGCCGATTGGGGGCTTTGCCAGCCAGTTGGGGGGGGCACAATCAGGGCCCAGATCAGTGCATGTCATAGCCACCAGTTGTTCCAGTCATTCTGCCATTCTCGTCACTGGGCTTATATATAGAGAGAGATTATTTAGCACTCCTTTCTGTCCACCCACTCCCTGCACTCTTCCAGCATGTGATGTGATTTTTTTTTCTAGGGGTGAGACTAGAAAATGAAAACACTGCCCTAACCTCCAGTCACAGGAATGAGTGTTTAAGCCCGATCACTCACATCATTCCCTCTTGCCTATGACAGTGAAGCGCAGGGAAATGAGAGACCACCACATTTTTGGGGAAGTATTGGAGGACACTCTCTTTCTACAAGGATTGCTAAACTGATGGGTTCCTCCGGTGCCCCTCTAGCCCACCAGCTGGACAGTGTGCTGCAGCACAGAAAGTGGCAGGGTGCAGATACCACTGGGTAGGTTCATGCAGCCAGCTGTGTTTAGTCAAGTTTATCTCTGGACTTTCCAATTAAATGAGAGTGTATCAACTGCTTTGATTTGGCTGTACTTGCATTACCAGCCATCACAAGTTCTGAGTGATCCTTTTGCTCCTGCGCAGAAGGAAAATAATTATTTTACTTCATCTCTTGTATCATGAGGAGTGATCAGCCAGAATGATTAAAATACACAGTTTCTTTTAAAAATTATTTTCATTTTAGAAGGAAAATATTAAATCTCACTCTTGTTTCTTTAGTGGCTGCATTGACATGATTCTAAATGAAACCTATTTGGGGTATGCCAGGTGAGCTGCCGACAGTGAGGTGCTCTTACGAGGGAGAATTGCTCTTGCTCTGGGTGAATGAGAGGCAGCACCTCCCTCCCTGGGCAGTGTTGTTGCACTGTGACCTGCTAGCCCACTCTCCAATAGTCCTCACTGCAAAGTAATGGATGTCCTTTCTTGTATTAGTTCCTGTAAGCCCAGTTTCCCTGACTTTTTGAACTCATTTTCCACTTAGTAGCTATTCCCCATTCAAATACCAGTTTTCCTACAAATAGCAAATGAATTTAAAGGTCAAAAGCAATTATGAGTGCATACTGGAGGACACTAGAATTAATTTTTGAAACAACATGTATTGAACTTCTAATGTATTACAAGTAAAATGCACTGATTTACCAATCTAAAGTGGGCACGTATTTCTGATGATTTTTTTCTCTATTGAAAAGATAGTTTTATTAAAACTCCACTGTTAAAATTCAACTCCTCTTTCAAGAATCACCTCAAACGTCAACTCCATGATGCTATTTCCTCGATCTTTTATTTTTGATAATTCTTTATTGTTGAAAGTATTATATATGTCCAC